TGAACTCTTTCACAAGGAGCTCTACTGCTGAAGTTTATTATTTTAACCACGTCAAGTTCTACAAATTAAGATGTCAAGTTCAACGATCACATTGTTACAAATAGTAACCCACATGAGCAGTTAACCATATAACTTTGAAGGGCTGGATAAAATTATATTGAAAATAATTATGCTTTTAATACAAACCCTTAAAGTGTGAAGTTGCAACAAAATTTGAGGTTATTTAAACATAGGTATATAGTTCTTGGGTATTCGCGATTGGAAATTATTGGGATTAGCCAGCTCAGATACTCACTCTTCACTCGCTACAATGTTCGATTTAGAATAAATATCAACAAATAAAAACGTATATAATTTTTATTGTTCCTACCTTAGACTGTTTTACAATTAACAAAATTACAATATATTTTCCCCGAAATGTGATAAAGATATTGATATTTTTATCTTGGAGTCATGTATGTGACAAATTTTGATCAGTAGAGGTTTTAAATCGTAAAGTAAGTGATTAAAAACGAGAATAAAACTATTGTGAAACGAAAACTTTGTACTAAAGGTTTTATTATACACCTTCTGCGTATTTGGATGACAAAAATCCTTGTTCCGTTTAGGTCTTTCAGGTAGTCTTATAGTGCGCATTTGACCTCCATCTCACCTGATGGAAAGTGACAATGAGGTCGAGGATGTAGCATGCATACCCAAAATAATGCCTATTCACTCTTGCCTTGAAAATGTCCAAGTTATAGCGTTCGGGGAACAAGTCTGCAGGCAGGGAACTCCACTCACTAGCCGCTCGGCATACAAATGTGGAAGCGAAACACTTCGCGCGAATCCGGGGAATATCCACAACATAGGGGTGGTATCCCAGCCCACGTCTAGTCTCCCGATGATGCAAAGGGGAAGGCGGAATCAAAGTATGCAATTCCATCGCACACTGTCCGTGATATATCCTGTAGAATACAGATAAGCTGGCAACTCTATGGCGGTGTTCAAGGCTCTACAGCTTCGCCTCTACTAATTCCGAGTCACCTATAAGCCTCTTAGCACGCTAGTCTATTGAATCCAAGGTGGCCAGTTGGTATTTAGCAGAGCCAACCCATAAGAGGCAGCAGTATTTCATACACGACAGGACTTGTGCTTGGTACAGCTGAAGCAACTGTCCCGGTGTGAAGTATCGCCTCACCTTGGAAAGGATGCCAAGCTTCTTGGATGCATTTTTGGCCATGGATTCAATGTATCTGCCGAAGTTCAGATTGGACGACAGGTCCATTCCAAGTAGGTGAAGACGGTCGGCTATCGGTATATATATCACAAAAAGTCGGAGTCAGTTGAAAGGCACTCCGTTTAGTGGAGAAAAGACACGCCTGCGTTTTGGTAGCAATAAATTTGACAAGATTGGCATCGCCCCAATCGGAAACTGCCTTAGTGTCAAATTCAGACGACTAACCATGGACTCTCGACAAGACTAGATTTCTTCTCCACTGACCTTTGCATTGGTCAAGTACCTGTCCACAACTGTGCTGTCATCAGCATACCCAAAGGTACCTGGAATCAACATATCGTTTATATGCAGCAGAAAGAGGGTTGCGGACAGTACAGAACCTTGAGGAACTCAATCTAACGCCCTATGTTCGGAAGAGTAGCCTTCTAAGACCACTCGAATCGATCGTGCACTCAAGAAATCCAAAACCCAATTGCAAAGGTCAGTGGGAAACCCATAAGAGGGAAGCTTGCTTAAAATGCTTGCGTGCCAGACCCTGTCAAAGGCCTTAGAAATGTCTAAAGACACTGCAATGGCTTCGCCATGCCCTTCTATAGCCTCGCTCCATAAGTGAGAGACGTACACAAGAAGATCCCCAGTAGATCGCCCTCTTCGGAATCCGTACTGGCGATCCCATGGCGAACCCTGTTTGTCGTATTCATGACTATGTGGAGTAGAAGTCGTTACGAGTCGAGTTTTGGAACTCTAGTTTCGTTCAAAACTCGAGTTAGGCTTACCACTCAAGTTCTTTTTAGACTAGGAGTCGTGGGTGTTTTAGACCAACAACCTGTGCAAAATGAATCGAGTTTATAAAAAGCTCAAAGTCATTCAACGAGCTATTGCTAATGAGCTATAGGTACTCAAAGAACAATGCTCGGCATTTCTTGATGTGATCGAATCAAAAACGAGGAGATCCGTAAAGAACGAAAGTCACTAACGTAGCTCAGAGGATTAGCAAGTTGAAGTGGCAGTTCTACATAGCTCCTAAAACTGACGGCCGTTAGGGCAGAAAGGTTCTTGAATGGACGGATGACCTGAAGTCCACGAACCGGAAGGCGTTCCGTGAGACGGCCTCCTACTAGTTGGACCCGGCTAGTCTGGCAATCTTTGGAGGAGGCCTATGTTCAGCAGTGGACGCCTCTGGGTACCTTCTTTCCAACGAAAAAGAATCATCAAAATCGGTTCACACTAATCGCCTAACATACACAAAAAATACGGTCAAGTTGCGGACCTCTTCCTTTTTTTCGGTAAAAAAAGTTTCGGAGCTGGGAAAGCTTTAACGTTTTCTGTCAGTAAAATCACCATACAATTTTCCATAAAAAAAGTGTACCTAAGTCCACAGTCACTAACACTCGCATGCCTGTGAGTACAGTCTTGTGCAAAAACAAAAATCCCTTTGTGCGTGCCGCCCAGCAAAAACGGGTCAGCTGGACGATTCAATACAGCCTGTAATTGGCTTCCGATAGCTATTTTAATTGTGTCACGTTGCTTACTACGTATTTCCTACTGTCATGTTGTTATGGGTAAACAAAAATTGCCTTTAAAAACATACAGACAAAATGTATTATTGAGATTTTTCGATTAGAGCAAAAATTCGACTTACACCGACCGTTAGTTTAATTAATATATCCGAATCTCAAGTTGGTTTTTCCACCCAAACCAACATTAATTTGGACATGCTAAGTGAACTGTTTTAAAAGACGTCTATTCTAAGAGCGTTAGCTCACTATGTCCAATTCGTATCATTTCCGAATCCGAGAAATAACATGTGTACTTAATATAAGTGTAATAATGCACAAGCGACATCCGAAGTGGGACCGAGTTTCCCAAATTTGTATAAGTCTTGGATTCGGAACAAATATGAATTGCAAATGATTGCATATAGCGATTACGCTCTATTTATATACCTTTAAAAATAAAAAATATATTTATATGCTTAGAATAATAACGCATAGAAAGCTAGTCCACACACGCTAAGAGGTAAATTGAAAGGATCCAAATAGGCTTACATGAGCGGGCGGGCCGTCAGTGCTCAAGGTCAACTTGCACCGCGAACAGCTCAAGAATTTTAGTTAAAAAAAAATAATTTCGTTGCAACAAGATATGAAAATATTGCGAAGCTTTATATATTATTATGATTATTCCACGACATCATTATTTGTATAGAAACTATCATTCTATGCGCTATTATTCTAAGTTTATATGTTCAATATAGGAAAAAAAGGTAATTTATCTTATTTTCTGAACATGGCAGACTGTAGTAGAATATCGGCGGCGCTGTAAAACAAGTCGCCATTTTGAAATATACATAGGTGCCGCCATTTTGCTGGACTACAAATCTTTTTATCTGCCACCGTTATTATCTGATACTAAACTATGTGTTAGTGTTTTGTATTTTGATTATATAATTGGGATAAAGAAACAATTTTGATGTTACTATTATTATTTTCTTCACCATTTTATCTCTTAAGGTCAAGCTTTAGAGGTCATTAAATAAAATTACGAAATTGCAAGATTTTTCTCTTTTATTTGACAAAAGAAATTAATTCACTTTTTTCTTATTTCCGTTTTCCTTATTATAATACATTGTAGTTATAAAGTAATTATACTATCTACTTATATTTATATGTATACTTTTTTCTATATATTACAAAAAATATTTACATGTTTTTTCTTCCCGTTATGACCCTTGAATACATATGTCGAATGTTATCTGTTTAGTTAGAATAACAATGCAGTTCTTAGTTTATAACAGACTAACAAATTCGACATTAAAGAGGTTGCAGTTGACATTAGACAATTAAAATAATAATAAAACAAATAGCTTAAAAAGAATCTTGCATTCAGAACACAATTTTTTGCACAAAATACGTAAAGACAATATATTTATAATTTGATCGAAAATTCTTTTTCTAAAAAAAAATTAACTTAAAATTATTTATCACAACAGACTGGTTTGTGTTCCCGTTTTTTTTATTTTTAATCTAAATAAATAAATTTGTTGCATTAAAGCTTAAATTATGCTTACAAAAATTCAAAATAGGAATAGAAACATTTATTTTTTCAAATTATCAAACTGATATTCAAATCGACAAAGGAAAATAATTCATTTGTATACATTTTACGTGTTATGTGTATGTACTTTTATTTTAATTTTTCGTAAATCAAGTTTATGTGTGTTATTTTTTGTTTACTACAGGAAATAGAAAGAATAAAAAAGTATAACACAGTGTAAAAATAGCAAGCGAAACTCTCCAGTCATACAGTAACATCTGCCAATCACGTTAGATCACTTTGACGTAATATTCAACCAATGAGATTAACGCATTCAACTGTGCATGTCTTATATTCTGTTTGGTCCTTTAGATATTTCCGTTCGTTGATTGGTTGAATATCACGTAACAGTGCTCTATTTCGATGACTCTAGGAACCGTTAGGTTTAAACTTGGTGTGAATTATTTGAAATAATTTATCTAATGAAAAATACCTATTTTAAATAAATAAGTAAATTTAGATATGATTGAAAATTGAATTTATATAAAGTTATATTATAAAATATTATTTGCATAGGTTGATTTTTATTTCTCTTAGATTTCAATTCACAATTCACACCCATACATTTTGTGTCTTTTCATTCCATTATACATTAATAACATTTACAGTAACTTTAAACAATTACCACCTATTTAATTATTTATATTTAAAATTATAAAAAATGTACAACGATTTATTTTCTATTAAATATTCTTCTTAGATTTAAAAGTTGGTTGTGCCGATACATTTAAACTTTTCACATTTACCTTTTATTTCAAAATCCGCCATTTTGATTGTGCGCCATTTTTTTTTCCGGCCATTAAGTCCTTTTATTAGTAAAAACTGACAAGTCTCGCACCATTTGGTGATTCTAGCATTGAAACCGATAGAACGTGTTCTCGGTGGAACAAATTAGTTCTTTGAAATATCATTACATGAGGGATAACACCAAGGTTGTCAATCTTTAGATAAAATCACTTACATTGGAAAAATCAGTTACTTTTTTTCTGTCCAAACGCTGTTACACTGCAGGCCAAACCCTGTTGACAAAAACAATTCGATTAAATATAATTTCATTTAATGTTAAAGTCAAAAAGATTTGGCCTCTTATCACACCGTTCATCGAACCCCTCTAAAAAAAAATCAAAGTGGCGGTAAATAGAAAAAAAAGGTGACGTGTCAATAAGATTGAACTAATAAAAAACACAAGGTGAACAATTGAAAATAACAATGAAGAAATAACATATTATGAATTAGATACAAATTTAAAGTGTGTGACATTAGACCAAATAACTTATTATGAAAAAAACTACAACGACTAACAGAAGTGTATGAAAAATATGAAGTTGCACGTTAAAATCATAATTTCGCACAATTGTTCATTACAAATTATGCGTATTCCTTATTATGCCTATAATCATTTTGCCTCATAGTACACATCCTAAAATGCATTTCGTAGCCTTAGTATAATAAAACCACATGTGGTCGTAAGTCGAAAGTATTCTTATCACATGAAAGTCATAATAGTACGTTGTATGTAACGACGAAAAAGAAGAAATTACTAACGAAGGTCTTTTAGAAGCCCGAAGCCAAAGGCTGAGGGCTTTAATAAGTCGAGTTTTGTATTTTTTTTACCGTCCTTGATACATACAACGTTTTTTATCACATTTGCGAGGAAATAAATACAATATAAATATGGATCACAACATAACTCCATTTGCAAGTTACGGAATTGGCAAATGGAGGCAAAATTTTGTTTTTTTTTTAAATTCTTCCACAGACTATACAACTCGAACTAAAATATTGTAAAAAGCAAATACACATACAACCATGAAAGAATACGGATTGAATAAAAAAAATGCTAAATTTTTAAATAAAAAGTAATTAAAATCAATTATAGAAATTCTTAATAAGATATAAGTATTTAAGTAGTATGAGGCTGAATTGTAATTACATTTCTGTATTTAATAAAACATTTTCAGCGAATGTTTTAATTTTGAACTTAAGTAATCTCCTTGCGTGAACTTGAACCTGACCTATATAAGGAAGTATATCGTGCTACAAAAAAAAAATTGCTTATCGACCATGGCTGTAATGAGAGAAAAGACCCGAGGGTTTTATTTGGGGCATTATAGTCAAGTCAGCCACCATGCAATCATACCATTTACGAGCAAGTGTGGTGAAAAAATAATAAGAACTACATAAAACCAATTTAAAAGAAATCTCCTGAAAAGTTTTCATTTTGCAGATGTGTACTTATTACACAAGGAGTGCGTTTTAACGACTCACGCCTAGATCTGTAATCTGTGCACTATTTATTCTAAAGTAGACAGAAAGTTTTCCATACACTTCGATTTTGTTTAGCCAGACCACATCAATAAATACTAATGAAAATAGGGATGTAATACTGTTGAGTGTGTAGTCATGTTATTGATATTCTAGCATCGAGTATTTAACCAGAAATAGAGACGAAATAAGGGCCATCTATCCCTGGCAACTCATCAGGTAAATTAACCTTATATCACTTTTAAATATCAACTGTCGTTTGAGCTGAAATCGCGAATTAGGAAACTGAAATAATACAGCGCCAACAACAGACCTGTGTGTATGTCTCTGTATATTCCAAAAATATCCTGTATTTATTGTAATAAAGATAATATCTGTAACAATGGGGGCTGTTCCTTTGGGCGGTGTGGGAAAAACAGCAAAATTCTAATTTCAAAACAAACGGAGTCCCATTTCAACGGTAATTAAATATTAAATATGTAATTTTTCAATTTTCGTCCAATATAGTAAAAACCCAAAGCCAATCGGAGCACAGTTGTCACAGTAATGATTTGGCAGAATAGTTTTCAAACAAATTAAATGACATTTCGTCTCTATTTCTGGTTATATACTCGATGTATTCTAGCTTAGCATTTTGAACTAAAAATAGCGGTAAACTGATCCCATCTTCAGCTGTCATGTTCGTTATATTCATTGAAGTAAGGGTTTCGAAGACCCATGCGGTGGAACAGAGAAAGTCCGTTGTCACTGAAATGGATATTTGTATATACAGCCAGTTAAAAACTGAAAACGTGTATTTTCCCTTCAATCCCCTAATGGGATAAGCTTGCTCATGGAGTTATTGGCTAAAAAATCAGCGCTATCCTTGCCATTAACTATAAATAAATAAAAAAAAACTTTTTAAATGTTATACTGCCCATGGTCAGTCCTATATAACGATTTTCCGCGACAAAATGTCGGAAAATTAAACTATTAAAGAAAAATTACAATCTAAGATCTAGAGGTAAGGCGAATTAGACGGCTTAGCCTATCCCAGATTTATATATCTCGGATCTGGCAGAATGGCCAATTAGATGCCTTAGCCTATACTAATTCCTGAAGGACAAACAATTTTACAACAGTCCATGGTCATTTTAGAAAATGAAAATCTTAAAAACGCCTAGAACAGGAGCAAAAAGAATCTTTTTGTCTTTTAAAATGTTATATTGTCTATGGTCATTTTAAAAATAATATTTTAGCGCGCATTTTAAGGAATAGGCGGCAAAGTTATACGTCTATAAAAATCGCCAGAAAGAATTTTTTGGCCATAATAAAAAGTTTATATCACCATTACATCTAGTAACTGTAACATAGTATGTTTTGTAGCTAAGTATCATTCATTTTGACATTAAAGTCTCAGGTTCTAGGACTATGTACTATATTTAAAGTATCTTTATTTAAATTTGATTATAATAATGTAAAATGAAAACAATACGTATTACTGTGTCTCTAATACAGCTATATTGTAATTTTTTTCAAATATACTTACGTGAGCAACCCAGGGTTGGCGTCAGTTTGGTACCACGAGTACTGCGGCACGTAGGGGGGGTGGGGCTGGGGGGCGCCCTGGTGATGAAGCGCGTGCGCAGCGTGCGCGCCTTTCATGTCCCAAGGGCCGGGTGGCGCGCCCTGACAAAGAAAATAATCTGTTAATTACTCCTTCCAAAAGATCCTCTAGACTACACTATTATTTTATGAGTGGTGGCCACGGTGTGCCAACAAACACTGGTAACAACAAATAATAATAAAAACCTTAGAAGTTACTTTAAATAATACGTTTTATAAAAAAAAAACTAACCTCAAAAGCTTGTGGAATTACATCTATTTGCTTGGTTTTATTAAAATCGGTTAACGGACAATAGGTGAAATCTAATAAACCAGATTCATCCCCTAATTTGCCACCCTTGTGACGATGGGTCCTCTTTCATCCTCATCCCACCTTTTATCACACTTTTCTCTGGTTCCTGGACAACTACTTTGAAATTTTGAAACGTTCTTTAACTCCTTTTCTTCATTCCGTCGCCATTCTTTACTAATTAAAATTTCCGAAGCAAACAGAAGAACTTGACTTCATATCAAGTTCTCACCGGTTATACCATTGAAAATCATGTAATCTAACTGCTTATAAAGCATAATATCCTCTATCCTTTTTACCTTGTCTAACCTGTAGGTAATTCAAATCGGGAGCGTTTTTATCTAACTGTACCTGTGTTTATATAGCATTGTTACAGCCTTAATCTTTACCTTTACCTTTCCTCATTTTCCTGTTCTTTACCTATTCCTATTTTATAATAAATGATGTGGACGGAACATTTCATTTGATTTCTTTCTTTCGAAACCCTCGGCACACCTTTATAGGTGGAATATTTGAATGGTACCGTTACTGAGATAACCCCTTTCTAGCAAAAAAAAGAACAGTCGAAGCTGGTTTACAAATATGGAAGTAATCTCATAACGCAAAAAAAAAGAAAAATATAAAATTGATAACAAACCAGGAGGTTTGCCGAATTCAAAAGAAGGAGGACCTTCTTTTGAATACGGTGAAAAATTGACCTTTGGTTCTAGATTATAAACGCAAAGCGAAGTTTTTTTTAAAGAACATCGGTTCTGCAGTGGAGTTTAAACGAGCTGTCATAAAGTCTACACGGTGTTATAAGAGTTTAATGTGTTACCAAAACACCAATTTCCATGTGATTAAAATCACATTCAGTGTTATTGAGTTAATCAAGTTAAAACGTATAGGCGCGCCCGTCACACCCCTACCACTGTTTTTAATCTAATAAAGATATTATTCATACAACAACGTATGTATATAAGCTATGTTATATGTTAAGAAACACGCAACAAGTTGTATACGGTGTCGGAAACTTATTACTTGAAGTATATTAGAGAATTAGTTGAATTTGTTTTTCTTTAGCACCGGAAACTGTTGTCTGTGACAGGGAGTAAATATCTAGAGATGTACCCAAAAACTTCTAAGGATGCGACAGATCTCGCCGATACGCCAAGAACTGCATGCGTGCAGTTAAATACATGTGCTGCCACTTATGGGAAGGCTCTGCTAAATATCAACTGGCCACCTTGGATTCAACGGACAAGCGTGTCAAGAAGCTTATAGGCGACTCGGAATTAGTAGAGGCGAAGCTGCGGAGTCTTGAACGCCGTCGTAAAATTGCCCGCTTATCTGTATTCTACAGGATATACCACGGACAGTGTGAGCGCCTTCGCCATTTCCATCACCGGGGGATTAGACGTGAGCTGGGGGTTTCACTCCTATGTTGTGGATATTCAAACGTTTCGCACGAAGCGTTCGCTTCCCCATTTATCGGGCGAGCGCCCAGGGAGTGGAATTACCTGCCTGCGGTCATGTTCCCTGAACGCCATAATTTGGACTTTTTCAAAGCGAGAGTGAATTTTTCAAGGTCTTGTATCCCCGATCCCGCTGAGGCATGTATAGAATTTTTCTCAAACAATGTGAGGAAATAATAGAAGACTAAAGAGAGGAAGATGTATAATAGAAAAAGTAAAAATAAAATTACATTGAAATTTATATAATACAATTGCTAATAGAAAATGTTATTGCTTTTTCCAGGCACATTAAAGAAATCTGCTGAACTTCTGATGATGTCTTTGAATGTGTATCTATTACTGTGTTTTCATTATCACTCTTCTCACTAGCACTCATTTTCGCAACCAATTCACAAATAAGACGAAAAAACAAAAGAATGCCAAAACACTTCAGTTTATATGTTTCCGCTATTTTCTTTTTTTTTAAGTAAGCTGTACAGGTAGGTATTTTTAATTCTCGCAATTACGAACACTGGGCAGTTGGCTGTATGAGTTTTTCTTTAGCCTGTTTACATAGTTCATTACTAGCAGGTAGATTTAAAAGTTTAGAGAAGAGAAAACATTTCCGAACATGTTTGAGAAAAGGTATATATTACTAATAATAACCAGCGATACTTACATATCCGACCCGCGGATCCCACGACTGCTGGTGAGGCGGTTTTACATCACACGAAGATCCATCAGGCGATCTTCCTGCCGTTGGCTGCAAAACAATATAATATTACAACATACCCTGTGTTGTAGAAAACTCAAGTCCAGGAGTCTACATTTATAAACTAGACTCATTTTGCATAGCTCGATGGCCTAAAACATTCACTAATCCGAGTCGAGTCATCAGAGCATGGACTCGAGTCTAAAAAGAACTCGGGTTGTCAACGTCTCGAATCACTTCGAGTCGTATTTTGGAACTCGAGTTTTATTTAGCTCGAAGCGACTTCTACTCCACAAAGTTAATAAGTACGACAAGCAGGGTTCAATTTCATTGAACAACTGCTATTGCTCTGAATTAAATAAAAATTCAATACAGTGATTTAAAAGAAAAGAAGATACTAATACGAGTACTTAATTATACTATAGTTTAACGCACCACACCACAACATCGCTCAGTAGTACTTACCAGACTCGAGCTCAGCTCGTTACATGAACAGACTCGAACACGAGCGCGTCTCGTTAGATAAATAGACTCGAGCACTAATGTCAAACTCGAGTCTATTCGGAAACTCGATAGGCTCGTAGTACATCGAGCAGTGAGTCTTTGTCTTTACGAAATAATTTTCGAGAAATAATTTGGACTAAAGACAAAAAATAATTAATTTCTTACATATCCGACCTTCACATCCCAAGCCTGTTGCGGGGGTTGCTTCACATCCCACGGGGTGCTAGTAGGAGACAGCCCGGGGGACAATTCCGACACGGGGGTGGAACTAGGGGTAGGGGAGTGCGCCTGCGCTGGTCCCCCACTTTGGTACGCTGATGGAGAGTGCTGAGAACCGCTAGAGCTACCGCCGCCACCTAAATAAACAACAGAAAGTAATAAGTAAATAATTTTAAATAGAAAATTAACAATTAAATAAAGTAACTAATTCACTTTTCAGCTGGAAAACAGTGCAAATTACTAGGTCAGTAACTGTTTTTGAAGTTTTGAATGGCACTTGCAACGGTTATGTACAGGCGTGTCGCTTACCACCAGCCGAACAGTCACTTGGTATTATAAAGAAACGAGTCCATAACAGTCACCGGGTCGTCATCCGTCGTCATCCGCCTTCAGATAAGTTCGCCTTGTCGTTTACACCGAGTCGTCTGTCGCTTTCACTTACAAAATTCTTATCGCGGTTGGGCGCGGTCGCGGATACGTATAGTCTGTCTTTTTTGAAAACCAAGTAATATGACAGTTTACTGCGCAAAAGTGTTGCTTGCTTGCAAGCAGCTAGAGATTGCATTCGATAAATATTCTATCTATTATCGACTGAATGTTGGTCACGCTTATGGAATAAATAGCCGAAAATAGCCCTCAGCTTATCGTTGTCCAATTATTGAGCACAGGTTTATTTGAAATGTAAATTTTTGTAAATTCATAAGTATTTAGAACGATGTCTATAAAAAGGAGACGTATTTCAAAGATTTCATTTTAATTCAAAATGTATTTCGGTAATAAAGGAATTAGTAGCATTATAACGTTATAACATACACAATTCAGTCATTTTTGGCCAAATTTTATCTTTCACAATCTATCGATAAACTGTCGACAAGAACTACGTGACTATTTAAAATTTATGAAAACTGACAACCCTGCAAATGTCATTTTATTCCGTCTTAAAAAAATAGACCATAGAAACTTGTATGGTCAATAAACGCGTTGCTTGCCGAAGGCGACCGTATCCCCCATACCCTTTACACCTAGTCGCTTCGGACAACTTTGGCAGCGAACTACGATCGTCAGACTTACTATTTACACCGAGTAGCTTGCCGCCTTCGGTGGGCAAGCGACGCGACCGTCGCTAGTGGACTAGAAATGGGGAAAAGCGTTACATTTCTATCACCGTGACTTTACCACAGTGACAAATCACCGTGATTTTATTACGCCTGTCTCTTATATCACGATACACGTTTTTGGCAAGCGGCAACTATCTAATAGTCTTTACTGTTATTCACTTTCAAGTAACGTTTATTTTTTTTTTATAATATCAAGTGACGGGACGAACAAGTCGTGCGCCTGATGGTAAGCTATATGGTAAGCCTGTCCGTAACAGTTGCAATGCCACTCAGAGATTTAAATCGCAAATATCTGAGGGGCATTATTACGCCCGACACCTTGAGACATAAATTGATAAGTCCCTTTAAAACCGGAACACAGTAATGCTAATATTACTGCTTGGCGCCAGAAATAGCTCTATATATATACGTCAGGTACCTTTGGGTATGCTGATGATAGCATAGTTGTGGACAGGTACTTGACCAACGCAAGGGTCAGTGGAGAAGAAATCCAATCTAGTCGAGAGTCCATGGTTAGTCGTTTGAATTTGACACTTAAGGTAGTCTCCGATTGGGGCGATGCCAACCTTGTCAAATTTATTGCTACCAAAACGCAGGCGTGTCTTTTCTCCACTAAACGGAGTCCCTTTCATTTGACTCCGACTTTTCATGATATACCCAAACCGATAGCCGACCGTCTTCACCTACTTGGAATGGACCTGTCGTCCAATCTGAACTTCGGCAGTTACATTGAATCCATGGCCAAAAATGCAGCCAAGAAGCTTGGCATCCTTTCCAAGATGAGGCGATACTTCACACCGGGACAGTTGCTTCAGCTGTACCAAGCACAAGTCCGGTCGTGTATGGAGTACTGTTGCCACTTATGGGATGGCTCTGCTAAATACCAACTGGTCACCTTGAATTCAATAGACAAGCGTGCTAAGAGGCTTATAAGTGACTCGAAACTAGTAGAGGCGAAGCTGCAGAGCCTTGAACACCGCCGTAGAGTTGCCAGCTTATCGATATTCTTTAGGATATATCACGGACAGTGTGCGATGGAATTGCATAATTTGATTCCGCTTTCCCCTTTGCATCATTGGGAGACTAGACGTGGGCTGGGATACCACCCCTATGTTGTGGACATTCCCCGAATTCGCACGAAGTGTTTCGCTTCCACATTTGTATGGCGAGCGGCTCGGGAGTGGAATTCCCTGCCTGCAGACTTGTTCCCCGAACACTATGACTTGGACCTTTTCTAGGCGAGAGTGAATAGGCATTATTTAGGTGTGCATGCTACATCGTCGACCTCATTGTCATTTTCCATCAGGTGAGATGGAGGTGAAATGTGTACTTATTTTTTTATAAAAAAAAAATAGGTAAGGTTACTTCCCTGAAAGATCCATTCCATTCCATTTGAAAAGCTGATCCTGATGACCGTCACGTTTTTTAACGAATCACGTTTTTTAAACAAAAAGACCACGCGGCGTGTTTATTATAAATTTTGTACAATTATCCTTTTTTTATATATTTTTACAATATTTACACGGTATTTATACTGATGTAATTATCTCTTGGTTCTTATTTAGAATTTAAAAATAAAAGCGAACTACAATGATTTTGTTCGTAAAACACGTCTGTATGACGTGGTGTGACTCACGGTGACAGTTAGTGGAACGGAGGAAGAACCTATGTGATTTTGGAACGTCGTTCTTTGGTAATAAGTCACGATAATACCATTTGACAGTTGATCACTGTGGTTTTTTTCAACGTGACGTTATTTACCACCCACCTCTATCATCGACCTGGTGTAAATTCACCATAACTTATACCGGTACTCATGCCCGTATATCACGTTAAACTAATGTTAGTAAAACAATATGCTCACCATGTAATAACTGATTATTGTTCGGCGGGCTGCCAGGCGGCAGGCTGAGACTGGGCGGCGGGGCACCAACTTGTGCGGCCTTCATCATTTTCTTGTACTTGCTGCGCCGGTTCTGGAACCAGATCTTCACCTGCAGACAAAAGAGAAAGAGTCTTATAATTATTAAACACAAAGCTTATATTAATATTGTGTACTAATAAGACATCTGTGAATACCTAATGGTCTTATAAAATTTAAAAAAAATACTAACTACATGAATCTTTAACTTCGTTCCTAAAAAGTTGTCATTTACAGACATGGCCTTATTACATCATGGGTGTAAAATTTTAAAGGACATTACCATTCATAACAGTCTACCATAAACATAGCATTTTTCAACTATAACAGCAACTAAACAGTAAAATGACATTATCATAAATTATCATTAAAAGATAATAAACAGGTCGATAAAAGAAATACAAAGAAATTCACAACTCTATTGAGAATATTTTTAGTTAGAGAAATAACATTAAGCTCCTGTCCCACTGTCATGCCTAGAACATAGATATTTCCAAACCATGAACACATGTACAACGTGTACATGTATACAGGGGTAGCGTGAATGTAGGCGGGGTTAGGGTGCGGACCGTTATGCACAGCACGGGACCAGTGTTGGTCTAGTGATGGGCACTTATCGATATTGTACACATCGATAAATACAATATTCTGGGTATGAGGAACGTGACCATGTTTTTCCCTCAGAGCGGGACGATTATAAATTAATTATTCTTTTTAAAAATAGGACACATGTTTATGATAGTTACAAAATGTGTGATGATAAAAAATAAATGAACCAATCTTGTGTAGTCAGGGTGGGTTGGCTCTATACGAGTATATTTTTCGCTTTATTTTATCCTCACGCATATCTCCCGCCGACGTAGGCAGGAGGCTCTTATCAAGTCTCCTTCACCTCCTCGAATTGGCTACTTTACACGTATTGTATAGAGAATCTCCAACTTCTAAGATTACCTAGTACTATACTACTAATGCTAACACGGGACCTCATATTTTAAATAATATAACTCTAAGAACTCGATAATATAACTCTGTTCGACAGGGTCATGAGCGCGTCATTCTTGACACTTAACATTTAAATCCAACTCTATATAGCTTACGATAAGAACGGTCCAAAGTTCAAAGTGTCAAGCTTGACATTCTTGACTGTAGAATCTTGAATTTTTTTCTAATGCATAGTGTAACTTGTTTAAGTAGACATACGAAATAAATATAATATAATATTATTATTAATTTAGATTTCCAATTTTGTCGCTTTTGATCAGGTGTGTGTATTAATTTTAAACCGACTTCAAAAAAAGGAGGTGGTTCTCAATTCAATACTTTTTTATATATATAATATATATAAAAAAATACTATATTTGTAAAACGATTTTGATGGTTACTTTTTTGTTGGAAAGAGAATACCTCAGTAGTGGTCTCAAATTTAGAGAAAATATTCCACCTCTAAGAGTGGAGAACTAGGGGTTGAATCCGGTTTCGCGCACCTTCCGGTAACCAATTTTATTAAAACTTGCCAAGATGTAATTCCACGTACGTTTGTGGCCGGCTTTTTTTAAGTTGTAAGTCTTTTAGGTCTTCTTAACTCTGGCTGTCTACGGCATTACCATTAGGTATGGCGTCTGTAAATAATTCATAAATTCATTTGACATGTTTTGTTGTAATATTAATTATCTTATTTATTATTGTGTCGAATGTGAAATAAATTAATTCAAGTTTTTTGTATAATTCAAATGTCATCGTTGTAAATGAAGGAAAAAGAAGTTCTTTTTCATATTAATTAAACATTACTTCATAACATAAATTGAGAATGGATACGTAACAAGTGGGATAATAAATTATTAAAAGTTTAATTTTCTGTATCATACAAAACAGTTACATCATTATTATTGCCAAAAGTTAAAAACAAAAAAGTTTAAAACAATTTCGCTTCGGTGCAAATTGACAATTTTCGTCTTACTAACGAAAAACATGTGTGTCAAATTATGCACGTCGTAATACCGGTTACTTTCATGTTGTTGGACTTATAAATTCATTTTAGGTACAATATACTCCACTGCTGGTCATGAGTGTTATTTAAATAGAGTGTCATGAACAAAATTGAAAAGAAAATTTGTTCATTCTTTTAATGCATTTTTTTAACCGATTTCAAAAAAGAACTTCGACTTTTTGTATGTATGTTATGCAAAAATTATTTAGGTTTGTGACATAAGTAGACAAGTTCCATGTGCCTGTAATTTAACTAAAATCCTACGACTGTTTAAGTCATCTCCTGGGCGAGCTTGTTCAATCGTAGACCCTATCTTTGCCTAATTGCAAGGTGGTGGCTAAGAGCAAGTCCATCAACTAAAAAAAAAATACTTTATTGCGGCACATCACATGGCAATTTGTATTAGTTATTGGGTGTTTGATGTGCTTGGAAAAATATTTGACATACATACATTTTTGTATATGCAGACACTGACAAATGCGACCGTCTACAAATGGAGCAAAATAAGGAGTTAAAAGTATTTGCCTTTTGGGCTCCTTTGATGTGCATCGAGAGACCAGCGCGCGGTAATCTAGACATGGAGATTGTTTGCCAAATATATCAAACACGCAAATACAAATACACATGTGAAGTGCTACCATTAGAGTATTTATTTCAACAAATCGTAATAAATAAAGAATAAGCATGTTACAATAATTTTGTTGCAATTTTTATAGCTTTACTACGCTAATAGAAATACCTGAACAATAACATAAACTACACGTCATAAATTAACAATTAATCAAGTAGTATCAATGACATAATTGCATCAATTAAGTCGTAACTTTTGCATTACAATTTTTAAATGATTTCATTTTACTTCTCAATATAACTAATATAAAACAATAATATGTAAGTTACGAGCAGTAAATAACTTAGTAACCATTTATAACTTATTTAAAGAAAATATTGTTTAATTATACTCATAAATATGTTTACAGTAATGTTAAAAAATATCATGTTATTATGTCAAGTTATGTCACAGAGATTTAAAGCTTTGTGTGGGAATGCAACTGCACTTGCTATTTACTTCGTCCATTTAATCTTTATTCAGCGTACCTCTACAACAGTCATGAGTGTATTTTGTCTTCACAAACAGGATAAAATCTCCTTTCAAATATCAATGTGGATAAATACGAAACTATCGACAACAAAACACAAACTCGTCCCATACCTAGCAACCCCCACAAGGGTAACCCGCCTCAATTTGTGGGGTCAGGGGGCGCCATGTAAGTTAACCTAACTCACTGTATCGGCATTCACTTAGTTCAAGCTTTTATCTATAGTTTCATTCACAGTTTTATAGATCAGTGTATTAAAAAGTTATTACAATTCAATAATCATCATCAACCCTTTACACAGCCCACTACTGGACACGGAACTTCTTAACGAGTCCATATAAGCTTAAATGGCATTGGTTGATTCCGCATTGTGAACGTGTTGAATCAATCACGTTGGAAAATCGTGGATCATGGTGAACGGCACAAATTACGCTAGGTCCCTCCCAGCAGTTGGTGAAGTCGGGCTGTGGACGATAATGATGATATTTATATACGTATATATATACTCACGCTCTTAGATTTCTAGAAAGCTCGCTTGCCTCATTTACATCCTTTAATCTTATCATACAGATCATACTGCTATGTTATTCTTCTCACTACGCATCCCAGTCTTTTCAAAAACACCCTTAATTTGATCTGAGAATGTTTTTCGTGGTCCTCTTCCGACGATGCCTAAAATAAACCTTAGAATAAGTAAATAGTTAAAAGTCGAAACTACCTCTGCTCAGTAATACGGTTCATTTTGCTTGGGTCGGACATTAGATTTATTTCAGATTTTTTTTTTACAAATGAAATAAAGCCGTTTGAAAAATGTATATTGTATACATTACGTGTTCTGTTTAGTTCAGTTCATATAAAAGAAATCATTGGTATAAAGTAAAGTACCTATTTTTTCCAAAGTTCTACACTATTTATGCGGAATCAACCTAAGCCATTTGAGGAAGTATAGACTCTTAAAGTAAACATTTAGTTAAATATTGCAGGTTGAGTTCTTTACATCAGTCAAAAAAGTTTTATTGCGTTCTTTTCATAGCACTTGAGCACAACTGTTGAAACATTCGAAAGTTTACAATACCTAGGATACCGCAATGAACACAAATAGCATGCTGTTGCACCAGAAGAGTAATTTCATTGCGGTCACCACATATGTCGTCGGCCATTTTGATTTTTGTTTTTAACATTGAAAACAATATGCAGTATTTTGTAATATAAGTTTAAATTAAAAGAGCTGTGCTAGTCCAATGGAAGAACTATTGCCTCGTCGTTCCGGTTCTGAAGGGTAAGGGTGCTGGTGAAATTACAGGCACATGGAACTTGTCAATTTATGTCTCCGGGTGACAGGCGCAGTGGCTGTGTTCCTTAGATCTTTGCGATTTAAGCTCTGAATGGGAATGCAACTGCGGACATTAAGGTTGGGACATCTAGTAAGTATTACCTACCTGCGGCAGGAATGCCCGCTCTTCCATTTGTCTTTAGTAATAGAAATGAACTTACTAGCCAAATTTGTTTATAATAATAATAAATAATAAAACCGCAAACCAAAACACTTATGTATGTGTGAGTGAGTGAACATTGTATATGAGTAGATTCCCCGTTTCGTCGAAATTAAATGAGATCAATTCATCAAATTTTTATTGAATTTATATTCAATTATTTTTGTGAAATTACTTCACAAGTTTGTTATAATTATTAATACAAAGATCGAACAGAAAGAAAAAAGGAATTATCGATCCGGCCGGATTTGAACCGATGTTTTTTAACGTGTTAACGTTAGGTCTTTTATGCGTCATTACTCTGAGCACGGGTTTTAAAGGAAAGATAAAAACGGGCATAAGTTACGCTACACTTTATTACTGACAAAATAAAAATTCGTTCCCAGAGTCTTTCGTTTAGCGGTATTCCATACATTTCATACATACACACACAAACGTAAATACATACATACATCATGCGGCAACTACAAAGGCGATCCGGGCATATATTGCA